CCAATGAGGCAGGGTGGGGGCAGAGACAAATGCCACTCTAGCCAATCAATGCATCTCTATGAGGAAAGTTCAGCAGGAGACGCTGATCGTCATTGCCCCAGGAATAACCCCTAGTAGCCATCTGAGGAGTGGCCACTGGAGGTGACCCTAGGCTGTAATGCAAGCTGTTGTTCTGGTGACTATAGTGTCCCTTTAAATGAGGACATGATAATATATACCAGTGTGTGTGTGTGTGTTACATGTTTAAGCAAACTGTGTGATTTAGTTGAAGATCAAATCAAATGTCCTAATCAATGTATATTAAAAATCAAAGTAATTCCAAAAGGTATTATAATACCATTTGTTCATGTACTTATTTACTTATCATTTTATATATTTTAACCCTGTGTGTTACATGTTTTATCATAGTGCTAAATCCAGTATTTTCACTGGAATATTGGGCCAAAATCCTCGAAATAAAGCTATTTAAGTACCGCAATAAGGGCGGGTGTTGTATAGGGCCATTATTATGCAGGTATGGATAAATAGAATTTAGCTCTTCACATCAGCACAAGGCAGCTGAGTTCTCTGGCACTAGGTAAGGTGGGTAATCTGTAATGGTGCTAAGTGTCTTTCCTGTTTGACTCACATGGAAACAAAATAAAAAGAAAGACCTGAATACTCTTAGAAGTCAGTTTACTAAACATTGAAGAGTAATAAATCCAAAATAGCAGAACTGGAAACTACTTCACCCCATTCAACTTAGACACTCTTTCCAACGACTCATTTTGGAATAAGCTTTTCAAGTCTCTGTTCCGCAAACCCCTGTTTACTGAATATATCCACACAAAAAAATGAGAAGACTACTAAAATAAGAGACTGGAAATGAATCTATAACCACTGAACCGAGATGGGGAGAGATTGGATAAAAGAGAACAGTGAGAACTACGAAGAGAGAGAGAGAAATGCCTCACACTATACAGGATGGTAGAAATCCCTTAGGCAGCCATGCATGTCATGAAATCTATTACTTTGTAAAGAATATATTCATCTATACATTGTGATACCAAGTTCTCCCTGTCTCCCCTTATTTTTTTTTGCCAGCCAAGGAGCTGGAGAGAGAGAGAGACATGAGTTTTGCTCTCTATCTTCTTACCCAGCATATGAGGAAGGGGAAAAGGATGGAATTCATTTATTACAATGGAGACCTGGTGGGAGCCATGGCTGTAGCTCCAATGTGTGCGTGTGCGTTTCTATATCTCATACATATTTCTCTGCAACATATAGTGTGACAGGTCTATTCTAAGAACACGTTCGTGTCTTCAGTCCTTCCATCTAGTTTAATAACTGTTGTTAAAAATGCCTATCGGGTTAGAAGCTGCTGAAATATGCTATTAGATTTTGGTTTCCGCAATGCTAACACATATTTCACATTATCTGGATCTTGTGATGAGTTAATCATTAACAGGCTTATTCAAAACGCCTCCTGTGAAACTTTAAAGTATCAATGTGCTTGTTAAATGACCTTGCAAGGCCATGATTACTTAAAACGCTACTGTGAAATCATTATGTTCTGTGTTCATATTAATATCCCCTATCTGCACATTGATGGCTCCTCATAGCACTGCGTGTGTTTGCCAATAGAATTTACAAGATTGCTCAGCTGTCAAACTGGGTTGATTGCCAACCTTGTCTAGGTAGTACTTAAACATCTACAATGACAAGTTTAAACATCAGTTACCATCTGTGTGTTGGGCTCACTAAAGTATGTCAGGCAGGTTTTACAAATTAAAATTCATATAGCTCCTTCTATATAAAACTCTCTACTCATTACTACAATAACACTATGTTTATCAATGCTTTTTAGTGTTTTGGTAGCATTATTCATGGTTAGAGTAAATGTATAAGTCTTAGGGGGTCTCTCAACTTCCTTATTTATAAATAAAGGTTTCTATATGACTTTCTTTATCATACAAATTGTAAAAATAAAAACTATTTTAAAGGGGGGTGTTTAAATCATTATAAGATTTATATTCTAAGTCTGGATTTTCCATAGCTTTTTTTATGAATTGTAATTTAGAGTTTATTTCCTTGTAATTGTTTTTAAATCTATGAGCATTTGAAAATGATGTAACAATTTGGCCCACGCAAAATTAAGGCCTTTCTGTAATACATTTAATGCATTTTTATTTTCAAAATTATTTATTTAGAAATTTTCAAAATTAACAAAAGTTAACAAAAATAACAAAGGATTACAACTTGGAATGAAGTACAATAAGTGAAACTTTCAAAGGTAGGATTTGTTTGGTACATAACATAGGTGTTATGGAGGCTCAAGCAACATGTCTTAGTCGGGGAGTGTCTACTTCCCATGCTGCTATGTATGGAGCGTAAGATGGGTCGTATCGGTGGCCAGGGAAAGGTAAATGTCAGAGATCTGTTCTTTTCTTGTGAGTGATTGGATGCAGTGTGTTTCAAAGGTAGTTAGTGAACATGTCCCTGCCTGTTGTACCAAATGCAAAACAGAGAAGCTTCACAATTGTAAGAAGCAGAAGTAGTCAAAATTAGTTAGAGTAGAGTGGTCAGGCAAGTCTGTAAATTCTAGCAGTTTTCCATTCGGAAACAAATGGCCTAATCTCATAATGTCTCTATCCTCATAGGGGGCATAGGGTTTTGGAGTGAGAAGTGGTCATATTTATTTTTCAGCCTGTCCCAATGGTCAATGGAGTATGTGATTGTGGGGGATGTATGGGGGGAAGGGGTCTGTGTTCTTTAGGGAGCTAAATTTATAAGGAGGGATGGTCCCATCCAAATATCAGGTGTTCTAAATCCACTTATCTTATTTTTCCCATTGTAGGTGCCAATGTTGTATTTAGGGGAGGTGTGAAGCTTGGAGATGGGTTGACCAAGGCCATCCAACTTCTTGGGACTTCTTGGGAATGTAAAGTGTGTTTATGCAGAGTCACGGTTTACAACCGCCCAAGATAAATTAATCATACAATGCATTTAAGGTAAAGAAAAAAAAAAACAACCCCTGAAGTACCTTATGTAGTTTCCTTCTTGTTGACACCCAACCATTTCCTTTTTCCTAGGGCGTTCAAGTCGCTTAACCAGTTGGTTAAGTCTATTTGGGCGTTTTGATGAAATATATCTGCTTATGTGATTCCCTGTTTGGTATTGCCCCCCTCTTAAAAAGGACTAGATGCAGGGGAAGGATCATTATTTTGACCAATGGACCATATTGACTAAGACCTCTTGGTCTTTTTTCCCCAGTTAGCTACTTGGGCTAACATAAATGAGCATTAGTAACTCCTTCCAAACTAGGAGGTTTTCTCTCCTTATGCTTCTCTGGTTCAAGTACCGTTTGGAAGTATCTCTCTAAATGTGAAAATTCTTTCCATTTTTTACTTTTTTTGGTCAGGTTATTTCTCTCCCTTCTTATTCTAGTAGTTTTTTTTTAATGGTTTCTTTCCAATATTTTTCAGTTGAAAAGAAACCTGTTTCCTTATCTGTTTTATCACTCACATATTTATTATATTTAATCTCAGACCTAGTGCTCTTTGTTATCATTTTTATCCAACATAATTTACTCTTGTTTGGAGAACTCTTTCTAATTCTAAATTTTTCTATTTTTTTTTTCAAATTCCTCATCAATTAATTCAAATTTTCATTCTCGTATGCTGTAATAACTCTCAGGAAAGTAAAAAAAAGCAAATTACTAAAGCTGTATCCCATTATTTTATAAATGGTGAATTTTCAGTTCCATTTCCTGGATTTTCTTTTCTTACCTAGTCCTTTGTAGATCAATACCCCCTTTATACAGCTCTCCAAACAAGCTATTTCCCACCATTTCTTCTTATAAAAAGCACTTGGAGGAAACATACATATATATATATACACCCAAAACTACCAACAAAATGAAAGAAAAACACCTAAGGTGAAATATAAACAACCCACAAGAGTGAAAAATAATGCACAAAAATACATAAAAAATATATATTCTTCCTGAAACAATATTTCCCAGGACTTATCCAAATCCTTGCAATATATATTGACTGATGTAACTGCAAAAAATATAGAAAAGGACTCCTAGGGTAATAAGTAATACAATGACATAGTCTACTAAAGATTTGCACTCACAAAGGCAAATAATAATAGAGGCATATCATCAAGTGTCAGTGCTGGCTGGAATATCTGATGATCTGTTGACAATCTTTAATTTACACATTGCAGTATATAGAGGAAGTGATTTCTGATCACTTCCTCTCAGCACTTGTGAAAGAGAATCCACACTGGAGTAGAGCAGCCTGCATCAGCTATTGCAGCTCCTGCTCTTGACCTGTCTCTGGCTAGCCCTATCTCCACTGGACCCCAGGGATGTCACCCACACTGCTAGACATACACAGAGCTGCAGAAGAAGCCTCCCCCTCACACAAATAATACAAACATCCCACACACACAGTCCCCACAAACATAACAACACTGACAATCCACATACATGCATACATGTAGCCTCACTAGCAGCCTCTCACATACACACACCACCAAACACACAATGTGACATATTATCCACACACACAATTCCACAAGCAGCCCCTATACACAGCCAAAAATAATAAAACTACTCATGAACATATACAATATAACAGCCCATATAAGCACAGATACAATGCAACAAAGCAACTACAGCACCCATAAATATGGCAGTATACACACCTTAATTTAAAAAAATAGAATCGGCACACCAAGGGACTTAAAGATCTTGTTTTTGACACAGTACTACTAAAAGGTTGCCTATCCCTGAGCTAAGCAATATAGAGAGGAGACAAGACAGCCACAATAGTGTAAATTCACTTAGCAACTTTTATTAGTAATGCACTTACAGTCATATAAAGGCAAACAGCATATCATAGGTTTCTAGCACAGACACAATCTCAACCCTCTTAAGAACACCACTCTGGTGTACCAAATCCGCTGTCAAGTCCGTGTGGAAAATAAAAAAAAAGCAAGTGACCCAATAAAACCAATGAGTCCTATCCACTTGTTAGACATCTTGCTTAGACATCTTCGGGGACAAAGACTGTCTTCCTTTCGAACTGTACAACTTCTATCTTCTAAAACCAAGTTTTTATTTCATGAGTCCATCATAACTCCACCCCCTCAGCGTGAGGCTTAACCAATCTCCATATAGAATGTCAAGAAACTCTCCTCCCTTTTGCTAAGAGTAAATAGAGCCCACATGTACCACCGATCTCATATACATACAAAAGTGGCAAGATAAATAGGTAATTTCAATATCAAATTATTACAAATGCAAATGCCACAAAACCATTAAAACAAATATATGTGCCATAAAATTTAAAGTGGTAAATGCAATAAAATATATTAAAGTGGCAGACATCACATATAATAATAAAATATTAGTCACTTCATAAAAATCAAAATGGCTATTACATTGTATAAAAATAGACATTTCTCCCTGTCAAGGGAATACTTGACATTTCAAATATTTTTTCTACCTTTTCTGGTAAGCGTTGTCTCTTTTTTTAGTAGTTTATTAAGAACTTTTTAATGGTGTACTATAATATTTTACGTTATTCAGTCTTAATCATTTTTAAATAATATGCATATTTCCTATCCTGTAAAATGTCATGAATATGTTTGGTCAGAAGATCTTAGAAATTGCCAGGTAGTTGATTTTCATTACTTTGAACTGCGGTGGTGCTAAACAAGGTATATCTACTTATCTTTGCTTAAACTACATCTCTACATACCATACAGACCAAAAGCCATATATGAACATAGCGAGGACAAAGTACTGTGTTTGTTGCCACCCAATTAAAAGAATTCCAGTTAGTGATTTTTATTGGTCTGACATTATCATTTATTGAATGTGTTACAGGGAAATACAGTTTATTTTCAAACACCGTCTGACAGAGAAAATGACAGTAACATCTCCTAACAGACAATATTACAAATCGTAACAGAGAAAGTAACAATACACCCACGTAACAGAGAAGGTAACAGTAACATCTCCCAACAGAGAAAGTAACAATGAATTCTCCTAACAGGGAAAAGTCACAATAATATCTGCTCACGGAGAAAATAGAATGTACCTGTTGATTCTACTGATTTCCATAGTGATTGACCCGCTTTAGTACGTTAGACTACTTTACAGAACACGTCACTTTTTATTTATAATCCCATAGATTACAAAAGATTTGGGAGCTGAGAGTAAATTGGCTTTAAATGTCTGGACAGACAGGAGAGAGAATATATCTTAAGAGAGAGAATGGGCAAATGTTAGGTTGGAAATTTGATGAAGGGGCTTTAAGACAGCAAGTGTGTTTACAAATTTCGCTCACTACTACTGCACAGCCCAGTTGGCACATCTACAACAGTGGCATGCGCCACCAGGCAAAAAACGATGGGTGGACTTGGAACATAATATCTTGGGATGGGACCTCCCATAGGCATACATATCTGCCATACTGGCACACTGCCCTCTCCTACTGCCCTCCTTTCTAGCAATCACCCACTCCCTAGTCCTATGGGACAAGCTTAAAATAAAATTCAACCTTTCCTCATTCTTGTCCCCACTCACGCCCATATACCGTAACAACCTGTTGCCATCCATCATGACTCCAAAACACTTTCACAGTTTTGACCACAGAGACATTTCCAGGTTGCTACACTTGTGCGACCATGGCAACGTAATCCAATACTCCGATTTACCTAACCCAGAGACATTACGAACTATGACTATTTTTGATACATACTAGATCTACCCAACACACCCATGATCAATAAAATCCACAGAAAAATGTTACTTGCATACTATTCCAAATCCCTATGCATATTTAAATAAATGGAGGTTATTTAGTAACTCCAATGGTCATTAGATGTAAGCCTACTTTCCACATCAAGGCAAATCTCTAAAGGTGTGTCGTACACTAACAATTCACCTTGCTTGCTTCAACTTTAGGCAAAGAAAAGTCTCTAAGTCTCTAGGGGGAGTCTGAGCACAGGACTTATTTTTCTGTATTTGTACACCCATGATCAAGCAGGTGGGCACAGCACCACCAACTCCCTTCGAACATCAATGCTTCGACTCAACTACGCAGATGGGCCAAATCTCTATGATTTACATCACTCTAACCATTCTGGACTCAAGTACACGCACTTATTGAACAAATCATTATGAAACCTGTTTCAACAGATCAATGGACGTTGCTACTCTCGAAACCAGTCGACTCCCTTACCAGGATCAAAAACAAACTCACGGCTAGAATTGCCCTGGCAAAGGGCAAAAAGTAAACTATAGGCGGACCAACGAATACCCATTCTTTCTACAGTGAAACATAAAATTAGAGAGATATTCGACCTTGATAAACTAACCACACAAATTAACAATGCTTACAAATCTTTTCACAAAGTCTGAACCTCTGGGTCGCAAGCAGCATTTAACCCGACATACCCATCCTTGAACTAACTGCATCTCACATATATGGCTCCCCTCTCGACAGCCTCAACTATAACCTACCAAACTACGGTCATCTTGAATAATGAACTCCTCATTGAAAACATAAATACCTATTCCTCCCTTAATCACTCTCCCCTGCTCCCTCTTCCTTCCTTTTTTTTCTTTTCTTTTTTTTTCTCCCCCCTCTCTTCTCTCCTCCTCCCTTTCTCTCCTTCATTTTCTGTCTCTCTCCTCAGCTCCACCCGTCACACCATCTCCTACTCTCCCCTGGCTTTGGGGGAGCTGGCCTGCCTCTAGTTCTTTCTCCATATGCTCTCTTTCAATCATGGTTCATATATCCACCCACCACCGACCCATGATGCTCGTGACCAACCTGTCACACACTCCCTCATCACCATCTCTGACCTGCCCCCTCCACACGCAAGCAGCAATCAGAATTTCCTCACTTGGCCATCCTTACAACACCAGCTACCTAGAATCAACACACAAGGACACCACACCGATTCAAAAAGAAGAGTAACTACCCCTCAACCACAGCCAATTCCCTGGTCACTGCATGGATGGTTATAAACACCACATTCGCTTTACAAGTTGTTCTTCGTTCTTTCCTTTTCCCTCCTCCTCTCGCATCTCTTCGAGCCCACACTTACACACCCTCTACCACAGAGATTTTCACCAACCACAGACTCAGAGGGTATGCGGATGTTCAATCGGGGATGACAAAGGTGCACATGAGGCTGAACCGAAATCCGCGTTGGGTTTCTTTGCCTTTTGATTTATTTTAATATGGGCAATTTAGTTCACACTTTATTTTTCACAAGTTTAAACATGATTATTTAAATCATTCTCTTATCTCTTACCTTCTTAACCGATCTAGCTAGATTAACAGGGAGAGAGGCTTTTTCACTATCATAAGGGCAAATTGATACTTTGAATCTCAATCAGGAATAAGGATAGGAACATTGTAACACTTAATTTATAGAAATTTGCTTTGCCCTCTCACTGTTGAGAGAATACTAGAATATATTTGGGAGTATATCAACAGCATTGAGTAGTCAACAATATTGCTTAAAAAAGGCTTAGTCCAAAAAAAGTCCTTTTTGCAATATTAAGCATAGAGCTGATACTCTTATATACTTCCTAAATGGTTGAATTGATGGTTAGGTTTAGGTGTAGCCTTATAAGGCTAGTCTCACAGTAATTGATATTATTTTGGTATTTGATTTATTCTGATGGAGATCCTCTCCAGTCCGATTTATATATGAGTCTTTGCTTCGTTCCACACAGCATAGGATACTGTCAATAATTCCAGATTGCACCTATCCTTGCGATAAGGAAAAGTGTCTATTATTTGGAAACCAATGTATTCTGCACTGCTCGACTGGACCCACTAAGTCGGGAGTTGGCTGAGAGAGTCACAAAACAGTACTCACCTAATATCCATATAAACAAACACAAGAACAGTTAAATGGTGTATGCACCATCTATCTAGTACAATTACCGCATACTTAAAATAATTAAGAGAAGATGGCCTCAAGAAATGAAGGAAGATCTTTGCAGTGATTGGGTATTTAAAACAAATGGAACTGTGAATAGCAGTGTGGGGTACTGAGACTGACAAGTTGTATAGGTAGGGGTGGTTGGGCATGCCATCCACAAGGAGGGTTCTACTCCACTAGCCTATTGCCCAGTACTAATCTGTAAAGGTTTAAAAAGACAGAGCCCAAGACCTAAAGACAGAGCCCAAGACCTGTGGTCCCTTATTGTATCACCAGGAAAGAGAGGCACGAGGCAGGTGTTTTTTTTATTTGTGACTATAATTTTCATTTTCAATATTTATCTGATATCATTTAACCGTAAGCAGGGGTGGGACTCGTAGAAATGTTAACATAAGAGATGCGCAGGTATCCGACATGTCAGTTTGCGCTCAACATGTGAGACTCTCAGGTCTATGCCTGATAGTAGTCTATAGATCTGTACCATATGTTAGTACTGCGTTGCTATGTAGTATTTGGGATGGGTGGGAGGGATGAGGTATTTGGTACAGTGGGAAAGGTGACGGAGATGGCCAGCGTCTTTGGGAGTTGTGAGTACAGGTGTGGGTTCCTTAGTTGCGGGACGGTACGGTAAGGGGTTTTGTCTTCTACCTGTCACGTATTCATCCACATATAAAAATGTGATTAATGACATTTACTGTTCTGACAGGAAAAGTTGTGCCGAGCAACATTACTGTCCTGACAGGAAAAGTTGTGCCGAGCAGCAATCAAATCCACATGAGGGTTTGTGCTGAGCAGCAATCAAGTCCACATGAGGGTTTGTGCTGAGCAAATTATGCAAATGGAAACCTGATAACTGCCTTTGGGGTCAAAGGCCGATTACAGCCTGGTGCCCGGCGTTGTGCATCAGTGGGAGGAGTGGTGATGGGTAGGAAGTTAGGCTGCTTCGACCCGCCATCCTATGCCAGACCTGTAAGGTGTCTTTGACATACATGGGTGCGCCCCTCCTTGCCTCACCCAGGCAACCACAGGAGTAGGGCTATGGATACACCCATGTCCGCCTCCTCTACTGTTTTCCATAATTTGTGGACTTTGGGTTTTGGACCACTCAATTATTCTGAGGAGATGGCAAGCAGCATAGTAAAGAGAGAAATCCGGCAATACCAGATCTTCCCTTTCTTTGGGCTGTGTGAGTTGAGCATATTTCAGTCTGGGCCTTTTTCCGTTCCAGACATATTTCCCTAACGCTGTGTGTAGGGAATTGAAGTATGACAGCGGGATCATTATAAGTATGGCATTAAGTAGAGGAGCCGCGAGAGAAAATTAATTTAATTGAATGAGTCCCAACCAGTAGATGGGTGGGTGCGACCATTAAACGTGTTCACTGTCAGGGAGCGTGCCCCCAGTGGCGGTGTGTCCATTCCCCCCATCTGCCCTGTGTCCCTCCTCCCCTTTAAAGTATCAGCACAGTGTGTAAAAGCAATAAACTTGCCCTCCCCAGTCAGGTCAAATACATAAGCGCCTGGTGTAAATTAGCCTCTTTTGTGTGGGACCGGTAGAGTGATACTTGCAGGCAAATGCCCGGGTGGCACTCAGGAGCTGGATGATGGCGAATGTCCACTCCAGTTCGGCAGCTTCCTTAATTGTTTGTAGTGAGCCATTATTTCCAGTGTCTGGGGTAGTGCAGGCGGGCCCAGGGATGCAGGGAATGCAGGGAGACTCAGTTTCGGTACCACATGTCCCAGGGACTGTCTGCTAGGCCGTGGTTCCCGAGGGTCGCGTACCTTGTAAGCGGGATCGCCGCTGCCTCTGGGTTTTAGGCAACAGACCTTTAGTCCTATGGCAAGTGTATAGAAGACCAAGGTGTAATGGCTACCCAGCTGTAGAGGGGTATCTGCCGTTGGAGATGTCCTTTTCTGTGCAAGCTGCTGTGTAGTAATAGAGTCCTTGTTCCCATCCACGATATCCCAGGGTATAATCCGGCAGTACTGAAAAATGAGGCAGAGTAATGGCACCATAAATCCCCTCCAAGAACGAGACGAGGCTACGTTTTGAAGGGTCAAGTAGAACTGAGGTCTGGGAGAACCAGCCTGCTTTTTATTAGGAACAAGTACACACAAGACACTCCCAGGGGGAGGATGAAAATAACCAATTACACACAGGGTAACACCCCCACGTCTCCTCCCCTCAGATAAACACATAACATAATTATAACGTACATAAATTTACCCACATTCTGGATGTACCCCAAAAACAGGGGGTACACCTTTAAGTCCAGCACCGCTTAATAGCTACCACTCAGGGGAATAACATATTCGAATTTCAAGTCATTCGGTTGTGGGGTTCGGGAGTTATGGGTCTTTGAAGTTTTGACCGACCGCACAGGATTTTCAGCCGAAAAGAGTTCCACAAGTTCTGGCCTTGCGGTCGGTCCCCGTTCGTGAATAAAAACCCCACGAACCCCTTGCCCTCCACAGTAATCCTGCCGTTCGCCTGAATCCCCATGCATGCTTAAACAAAACTACCGAACGGCCGGTCGTTCGGTAGTTTCAGCACGAACTTACGAGCTCCTGGAGGTCTCAGCGGTGTTCGCCTGTTTGCGTATCCGTTTTTAGTTCCATGCGTTCACAGGCAAACACCGCCGTTCGTGCGTAAGATGGCCGCGAACACGTGTAAAGTCCCGAAATGGCGGCCACCTATTCTTAGACAAAGGGATTCGTCTGAACCATGCGAACGGCTCCACAATCGCTGGGAGGTAAAATAGTAATTAACTGTTCCCCTGGGTGGTCTGATGTTCGGTATTTTGGGTAGCAATAGTTATACGAACACCAGTCATTCGGTTCTGTTTAAACTCCCCAGCAGCACTGTAGATTAAGTTCAGGCAAAACAGTACAGGGTTCTGTTACACTGCTCCCCTTTTGTGGAACACTCCGGCAGACCCGGATTGATCCTTTTCGGGTCGACTTGGGGCTGTCCGGTCTTAGTCAAGGTAAAAGTTCCGTTTGCCTGGACAGTCCGTCTGCATTCCCATTAAACCGGCCAGGGCGATACTGAATGGAGAAGTTGTATGGTTGTAGTGCCAAGCTCCATCTTAGTAATCGTCCATTGTCCCCAGCCACTCGGTTCAGCCAGACTAGTGGGTTATGATCTGTGATCAGCGTGAATTCTTGGCCGTAGAGGTATGGGGTGAGCTTCTTTAGGGCCCAAACCAGGGCTAGACACTCCTTTTCCACTGCCGCGTAACTCACTTCCCGAGGTAATAGTTTCCTACTCAGGTACGCGACAGGGTGTTCCCCTCCATCTTCCCCGACCTGGCTCAGAACTGCCCCCAGTCCGTACATGGACGCATCTGTATGGACAACAAATCTTTTGTTAGGGACGGGGCAGACAAAACCGGTGCGTTGATCAGGGCTTGCTTCAGGGTTTGGAATGCTGTTTCGCAGGCGGGAGACCACAGGACTACTCTTGGCAAATTTTTCTTGGTCAAATCGGTCAGGGGTTTGGCGATGGTGCTGTAGTCAGGGACAAATTTCCTGTAATATCCTGCTGTCCCTAAGAATGCCAGTACTTGGGTCTTGGTGTGGGGTGTGGGCCAGTTGGCTACAGCCTCTACCTTTGCGGGTTCGGGTCGCTGTTTCCCACACCCTACCCTGTGTCCCAAGTACTGTACTTCGGCCATTCCGAAATTACACTTCTCTGGTTTCAAAGTTAGGCCTGCGGCTCTAATCTGATCCAGCACAGCCTCGACATGTCTCAAATGTTCTTCCCAAGTCTCACTATAGATCGCAATGTCATCCAGGTATGCGCATGCGAATTCCTGGAAGCCATCAAGGAGGCGATCCACTAAGCGCTGAAATGTAGCTGGGGCGTTCTTCATCCCGAATGGCATGACCTTAAATTGGTACAAGCCAAATGGGGTGACAAACGCCGACTTAGGGATAGCGTCCTTGGCCAGGGGATCTGCCAGTACCCTTTGCACAGATCGATGGTGGTCAGATAGCGTCCCCTGGCAATACGATCTAATAGTTCGTCTACCCGGGGCATGGGGTAGGCGTCTGTCACGGTCCTATCATTGAGGCGTCGATAATCGACACAGAATCTGGTCGTCCCGTCCTTTTTG